AGGGAGCCCGATGCGGGACTCGATCCCGGGACTCCAGGATCATGACCTGAGCGGAAGGCAGTCGCTCAACCAACTGAGCCACCCAGGCGCCCGAGCATGCAACTCTTGATGGTCGTGAGTTTGAGCCCCATACTGGGAGTAGAGATTATTAAAAATCTTAAAATAAAAAAAAAATTAATGAAAAATTTTGAGACTAGGAAAAAATACGCCAACATGTCAATATTAATTAACATGGGGTGGTGAATATTATGAATAATTACTTTTTCTTCCTGTGTTTCTGTGTTTTCAGAAATGTCCTACGTTGATTAGTTTACCATCAGAAACAAGCCCGTCATTACATAAAGACGTTCCCCAAGTGCGTCCATCAAACACATACTCGAGCTTGCACGCCCGGGGCTCCGCGCCAGGAGCGGGCTCCCAACAACCATCCTCGGTGAGAAGTGCTTTCACTCAGTTCTGCCCACGGCAGCTGCCTGAGGAAGGCGTCGTCAGTGTCAGGGAACCGAGGCCCAGGAAGGTTAAGGAATGTGGCTGAGGTCACACGGTAAGAGGCCGGGCCAGGACCGCACCCCAACAGTGAGGCCCCCGGTGCATAAATGTTTATGGCATTAAATGGAAAGCAAGCTAGAGCAGAGTGACAGCCAAGCCCACGGCACGTGGCCACCCTCGGTCTCCAGGGCCGTGGAAGTTTCGGGGCTCGTGCTGATTTCCGCCCCTGTGCCTCTTCCCTCCAGGGCAGTCAGTGAGCTTAATGATTTCAGGCAACCACCGCTGTTCAGGGATGGGTTCCTCATCAGGCACCAGCCTCTCGTAATTCACTGTGGGGCTGGCGGGGCTGTCTCAAAGACACGTTCAAACCTTGCCATTGGCCTCAGAAACCTGGACAGGAAGCGTGCGGGGCAGGTGCCACCCGCCCTGAGCAGAAACCAGGACGCCAGGGTTCCAGCCCTGGCTCTGCTCATACGATACCTGCGACAAGCCATTCAGCCGGCCTATGCCTCTGTTTTCTTACCTGTAAAATGGGCACAACCACACCCATCACGGCGGGACAACAGCGGTGATCAGAAAATCAAATTCTCTCCATCGCCTGGGGCAGCCTATCACCCGGTTACCCCCGAGAGCTAACATAAGCACTCCCTTCCAGCAGTACAGAGTCTAGATTTGCATGTCCTGCCCCCACTGGTGGGTGACTTGGAACGAGGTATTTTTCTTTTTTTTTTTTTCACCTAGTCCCAGGATGTTGGTGTGGCCTATGAGTGGATCCGAGAATAATGCCCAGCACACAGTAGGTGCCTGGGGTCAGATGGAGATGAAGTGTGTTAGCCCTGGAATCTGGGCAGCGCTCTGCGACCTTAGGGAAATCCTGTGACCTCCCTGGGCCTCAGTTTCCCCCATCAATGAAAACCTACACCACGTTAGAGTCCCGGCACAGGGCCTAGCCCCGGCTCTTAGTAGGTGTGCAGCAAACAACTGTCCCCAGGGCCTCTGTCGACATGCCTACAGCAATGCACTGGGGTGGAAAGGGACAACCCCCAGAAGAAAACACAGCTGGATGAGCAGCCAGGGCTGCGTCCATACCTCCTGTGGGGCTTAAGGGCTCGCCGGCCAGCGGGAACGGTGCAGTAGGGGCCGGGAGGTAGCCGGCGCCCCAGCCCAGGGATGCCCCCGCCCAGCAGGACCCCGCCTGGCCCTCACCCAGCATGTCGGACGACTCGATCATGTTGGTGTCCAGGTCGGTCCAGTAGAGACGCTGGTCAGCGTAGTCAATGGTGAGGTCGTTGGCCCGACCCACCTTGTCCACCAGCGTCATGCAGTTGGTCCCGTCCATGAAGGCCCGCACGATCCTGGGTTTCCCGCCCCACTCGGTCCAGTAGATGTAGCTGGAAGACACAGGGAGGGCAGAGCGGGCTCAGGTGCGTCCGCCCTCACTGCAGGGCAGGGGGACACGACCGCCGCCATCTCCTCGGCGTGGCCCGTTCCACCCTGGGAGCCCCCCACAACCCTAACATCCCTCCAGGTGCTGTCACCGTGCCTGCCTCCTGAATTCCCACAGCAGTTCACCTGCAGGGTGAGGGCAAACACATCCGTCTACAGACCCAGACCAGTGGCACAGAGGGGGTGGCCTCGTAATAGAACTCCAGGTGGGATACGTTTGTCAGAGACGAATGCTAATTAAGCTGGACGGGACGCCAGGGTGACAGGGGAAGTCAGGATGAATGTGGGCGAACCAGGACACACGGTCCCCTTACTCAAAAGGGGCAGAAGACAAGAATCTGAGGCCAGCAGGCACTACGGGGCCAGGATCCAAACTTGGCTTTCCTGCTTCCAAAGGGTCCTCCTCCCTTCTTCTTCAGCAGCTCCACAGAAGGAACCCCTGTGCCAGAACCGTGTGCGTCTTACTTGCCCTTCGGCTAAAACCGGGCCTTTCTGCTCTGCCGTCCCACAATCTTTCCTTCTCTAACAGTGTGCGACAGGCAGCGTTCGGGGTACGCCATACACATCACTGATGCACTGGGGGGCGAGTACGGGATCCGCACCACAGAAAACTCTGGTGCAGAGGGAGACTCAACCCTGGTCCCTCTGGCCCCCGTGCCCAGGGCAGGGCCCCCAGGCTCCTGACAGGTAAAAGCAGGTGCCTTGCGAGGCAGGTGGAACCCTGCCTGGGAAGCCTGCAAGGAGCCCTTTCTGAGCGCGCTGGACTCCAAGGCCCTAAAAGCCAGCAACATGGGGCGAGGGAAGGAGCCCAGCTCTGCTCTCCCTGCTTACCTGTCCCTCAGTAAGTCACTCAGCTTCTCTGAGGCTCAGTTTCCACATCTGCAACATCAGGGACAGAGACACTCGTCCCATGGAGGCTCCCCGGATGCTGCACTGAGCTCGGGTCAAAGTGCCCAGTGCAGCATCCAATAGAGCGGCCACCCTTCCTTCCTTCTGCTCTGGGCCTCAGTTTCCCCTCTGTGAAATAAACTAGATACCGCCAGGGTCCTGCCCACCCCGGCCACCTCAAAGCTAGTGGCGGTCAGGACTGCTCTAATGAGAAGGCCAGCTGGACAGCCACCCCCCTCGGCCTACAGTCGTCACACACGGGCTGATGTACGGAAGTGGGAGGGGGGCGGGGACACGTGAGACGAACAAAAATGGCTCTTACCCTTTGGTGGGGTCCAGGGCCAGTGACCTTGGGTTGTCCAGGTCCCTCCACACGAGGACCTGCCGGAACTGTCCATCCAACCGGGCCACTTCGATCCTATTGGTACCAGTGTCTGCCCAATAGAGGTTCTTGCCCACCCAGTCGACGGCCATGCCTTCCGGGTAGTCGAGGCCAAACTCGATCACGTGCTCCACGGAGCTCCCGTTCATGAAGGCTCGGCTGATGGTCTGGGAACGGGGAGGAGGCAAGGGCCACGGTTAGGAACCAGCCTTTCTGCAGACCTCTAACCATGAGATAGATGCTTGGCCACCCGGAGCAACTACTGACCACATCTGGTGCCCAATCGCCCACATACAAAGGTTTTTCAATAAATGCTTGAAATGTAGCAAAATACGTTTTTAGGGAAAAAAAAGATTTGATAATATTTAAGTTTTTATATTTCTATATGCATATCACATACAGATCGGTCCTTTCATTCAGTAATCTTTGTCATGAAGTTTTATTAGGGACTAATAAAAATGCAAAAGGCGAGGAGCTATGGAAACGACACAGAAGCGCTCACGACCATGGTATCGTTTACAGCGGGGAAACGGGAAGCCACTAGAACATTTAAAAGAAGCGAACGGTTACATAAAATACGGAGTATCTGTGCAGTGGACTACCTGACTCACCTAAAGAATTGTGTGAAAGAGTTCCTAACAGCATAATCAATTACCTCTCATAATGTCAAGTAAAAAAACCAGGATACAGAACCCTCTACAGCACCTGATAGGGACCATGAGCAACACCGGGACATGGGGAACTGCCCTGAAACGTCAGCTGGTGGGGGGGGATAGAAGTGATTTTCATTTTTATTTTATTTTTATTTTCTTCTTTATACTTTTCTGTCTCCTGCCCTCTTTCGCCAGTGAGCTCCCATGACTTAGAATCAGAAAAATCTCCAAGAGATGTGTAACACCATCGGCAGAATACAAGATAAATGAGTACGCTACTTCGGTTGTCCGGTACTTCAGACCAGGGGCAAGCAAACCTTCCCCTAAAGGGGCGGATGGTAAATATTTAGGCTCCAAGGGCCACACAGATCTGATGTCACTACACAATCGAGCAGCGCAGGCGCAGACAACCCAGAGACAAATGGGCATCGCTGTGTTCCAATAAAACTTTATTTACACAACCAGGAGGCCGGCCTGCGAGCCAGTTTGCCAAATCCTGCTTTACGAGAAGAAAAGGCCCTTCTGCGTACTCCTGCATATTCACATCGTGCGCAAAGACAGCATTTGCTGAGCAGGTGGCCACTGCTGAGGGAGCGAATCCAAAGACGGTGTCAATTTTACAACAAAACGCCTCCCAGACCCACAAAGCCCACCCGTGTGTCTAGTGGATGTGCTGGTTATAATCATTCATGATACTTTATTAAAATAGTCACTCATACTTTATTGTCACAGATCACGTTACCATAAATATTACGGCTCCTTTTTTTTTTTTTTTTTTAGTTCAATGCGGGGCTTGAACTCATGACCCCGAGATCATGAGCTGAGCTGAGACTGAGTCGGACGCCTGACTGACTGAGCCACCCGGGCGCCCCTGCATATTACAGCTCTTCTAAGTCTTAATAGACTTTAAAAGCCTTCGAGGTGGCGCCGTGACAGGCGAGGCGTCCACAGCGAAGCTGCGTGCGTGGGACACCCCGCAGACCGTACCTTCAGGCTGACGTCCGTCCAGTAGATGTGATTGTTGGACACATCGAAGTCCAGCGCGGAGGCCTCCTTGACGCCCGTCAGCGGGATGGCCACGTCATTGTTGTTGGTCTCCAGGGAGATCCTGTGGATGGCGGCCCTGCTGGTGAACACCAGGAAGGCCTCGGGGACGATGCAGGTCTTCATGTCGCTCAGCAGCTCCAGGCCGATGGGGCAGCCGCACTTGGTCGCGTGAGGCGTGAAGAAGCACAGGTGGCTACACCCCCCATTCCTGTCCGCACACGGGTTGGTCCCTGGGAGCAAGCACGGCAGCTCTAACCCTCGGCAGCCCAGCAGGGGCAGGTGGGCGTGGCTCCACCGTCCCACGGGGCTCTGCCCCAGCCACACAGCACGCGGGGACGCCAGGTGGGGAGGACGGAAACCGAGGTCCTCCCCAGCTGCAAGGAAGGGACAGCAACAACGGCAACATGGCCGGCTCTGCGCCCGGGGTGACCCAGGGCCTAGAAACTCAGTCCGTCCGCCCAGCAGCCTGGGGGCGGGAGGCGTCCCCACCGCTGTTCGCCAGTCGCAGAAAGTGAAGCCCAGGGAGGCTGGTGAAGGTGACAAAGGCAGGAAGTGGCACAGCTGTACGAATGGGCCGTGATGGGACAAGTCTCACACACACACCCCGGGCCCGGACTCCAGGCCTGCTGACGGGACCGACCGCCCAGATGGCACCTCCCAGGATCCAACGCCTCGCAAACCCAGACTCGCCCAGGACCGCCAAGGGGGTCTCTTCTGCATTAAAGCAGAGTACTCAGGGTGTTCATTTACTGGTGGCCAGCCTGTTAATCTCCCTTACCTCCCGAGGTGCTGTTAAAAGTGACTTTAATGTAGTGTTAAGTATTTCAGCTAAAAAAAGAACCCTGTTCCCCAGCTCTCTCAGGAAGTCCTGAGATGAGAGAGATGAACCCAATTTCTCAACCTGAAAGCACACCTGACAGACACATCTTTTTTAGGAACTGTTGGGTTTTTTGTTTTTTTAAACCATCACTCACAGACGGGCCTCACCGTCCACAGCAGATATTCAGCGCGTCCTAAAAGGCGACTGGGAAACGAAGCTTCTCGGTCCCATCCCTCTTCGTCAGGAACCCAGGTGGCTGGGCGGTAAGACCCATCCCGGGGACACAGAAGGCCCAGTTGCTCTCAGGCCCCCCCGCCCCACAGCCTCACCTCCAGGCCTTTGCACAGCTGCCCCTCTGCCTGGCCAAACTGGCCCCCACCTGCCCCCTAAATTCCAAGCTCAAGTGACCTCCCGCGTGTGTTAAAGCCAGGCATCCCTAGCATCACGCCAGGTTTAGCCACTGCCTGGCATAGCGCGGAGGAGTGTCTCAGCCACTAGACGGAGAGACCGGGAGCTACCTGAGGGCAAGCACTGGATCCTCTCTGCCCATTCATCCATTCATTCATTCATCCAGCAAAGTTCTGTTGAGCACCTCCGATGTGAGGTGCTGTAGTAGGTGCAGAGGCCCCCACTGGGAACAGAGCCCCAGCCCACATGGAGCCCACAGCCCCGCCCGCACCACACCTGGACGCTACTCTCTCCCGTGTAGCCTAACGACCCGCCTTTGGAATCCTTTTCATAAAGAGACAAATCATGTTAAGTGAGCTTTTTGCAGATCCTGGCTTTCAGATAAAAGGTGTGTGTTTGGGGCGCCTGGGTGGCTCAGTCAGTTAAGGATCTGACTTCAGCTCGGGGTCTTGGGATCAAGCCCCACATCAGGCTCTGTGCTCGGCAGGGGATATGCCTGTCCTTCTCCCTCGTCCTCTGCCCCTCCCTCCCCTCATGCTGTCTCTCTCTCAAACAAATAAATAAAATCTTAAAAAAAAAAAAAAAGTATGTATTTGAAGGTCCAGCCCGGCCACGCTGGACAACGATCACAGCCCACCCCAGTGAGGAGGTGGGGGCAGACCTGGAGTGAGTCCCAAGCTCAGCCACATCAGCAACGCGGCCGTGCGTCCTTCCTTCCTCCCAGTGCAAATGGGGCAATACGGTCATCAGTGTATGGGGTTGCTCCGGGCGCTGAGGCACTTAGCCAGAGCCTGGTATCAGAGCCCGCCCCTGGTCTGAGACCCACACCTCGGTACTGCAGGCAGATCAGCCACAGGAAGGGAGAGGACAGCCGTCTGCCTCGCCTGGCCCTTTCAGCACAGTGTCCCACCTGTCCTTCACCAGATCTCACCATATCCTGTCCTGCCCCTCCCCAGGGTGCGCGCCCGGGGACTGAAGGGCAGCCACGAGCCCCCTGCTTCTTCCTGGCGCCAGCAGGCTTGGCTCGCCGGCGGCTGGAGGCTGAACAGACTCACCGACAACCTTGGCCACGTTCACGGCCTTGAGCCCCATCAGGTCGGGCAGCTGGTCGATGATGACGTCCCGGCTGGCCTTGACCTTGTGCACGCGCTCGATGCTGCGCCGTTGCCAGTCGGTCCAGTAGATGAAGTCCCCCAGCAGCGTGAACCCGAAAATGTGTGGGAGCTTGTCCTCCAGGAGCGTCCGCCTCTTTGTCCCGTCGACGTTGATCACCTGCAGGATGGCAGACACAGGTATGAACCGGCCTCGGGCCTGAGCTGCCGGAAATGAGCCAAGGTCAACGCCTGGGATGCTCAGCTCTGTCTGCACCCCGCGAGGCCGTGATACGAAGCCAGGTGCCGTGGCTCCCTGGCAGAGCTGGACGAATGACCTTTTCAGTGGTGGGGCTGGCTCAGGGCTCTCCCCGCAGCCCCCCCTACCTGGGTACGGACACTGTGCTGAAAGGGCCAGGCGAGGCGGACGGCTGTCCTCTCCCTTCCTGTGGCTGATCTGCCTGCAGTACCGAGGTGTGCGTCTCAGACCAGGGGCGGGCTCTGATAGCAACATCTGCCTGCACACAGCACCAGCAGGCGTCAACTGTGATCACACGCTTGACGCAGACTTGAGTTTCCAGAGGCTGGATTACTAAGACGCCGTGGGCCCTGGGCAAGACGTCGCACCGGTCTCTGGACTGATGTCTTGCTTGGTCAGGCCCAGATGAACTCTGAGGGCACTTCTGGCCCTAAGTCTGAGCCCGTAACTCTCAGACATCTTCCACCCCCGCCCCCCCACGAGGCCATTTACTCTGAGATACAAAAGCTAGCTTTTTCTTGAAGAATCGGTGCTGATTAAAAGCATTAACCACAAAAGCCACAAAGGAGAAAACTGCTGTCAGACATAAAAACGCCCACGATTCCGATGACAGATGATCCTGTAGCAGCTTCTGTTGAAAGGCAGACTCGATAAAACACAACATCAAAATTCTCCGGCTCTCAGGCCAGGATGAAAGAGACATGACAAGTCCCAACAGACCTCCTGCAGCCAGATGACACTTCCAGCTCCGCAGAAAAGCGACAAACCCTCTGTTTTGCAGGCGGTGAGAACAGAAGACAGATCAAATTCAGGCTGAACAGAAGAGACTTGGGTCGTCTGCTGTCGGACAGCACAGGACAAAACAGCCAGGTCGCCGGGAGGAGCCGGCAGCTCTGGGCTGGGCCCAGCAAGCCCCTGCGCCCCGTGGACCTATTTCTCCACCTGTAACTGAGGGGAGCAGCTGACGTCATCCAGGCAACTTAACCAAAGACAGAACAACGCCTGGACCCCCAATCTGAGGCAATTCAGGCAGAAGTGGGAGGCTGCGGCCCAGGTATGGATCCTGGAAGCAGCTTCCCGTGGGGCGTTCCAACGCGCTGCCCAGGTGAGAACGTGGGGTTGGGGGGTGCCCTTGTACCGAGAGCTGGGGAGCTGCCAACCTCACCTGGAGGGAGGAGCTCGGGTTGCACCGATTTCTGTCCTCATCCCTGGGCACCACTCCTGGCCCTGCTGGTTAGCAGTAAATGGCAGGTAATGGACTAACTCTTCCAAACGGTTTGGGCGCCGGCCCTCAGAGAACGCTCTGCACAAAACTTGCCCCTGGGAGGGGTCTCATCCTGGGCTCATGGCCCAGGAGGTGAGGTTGGGAGAGGAGAAAGAGTATCTCCAGGAACACATCCCGTCAGGGGCAGGGCTCAAGCGAGGCCCTGGGGACCCTTGCTCCTTCCTCAGCTCGGGATAACGGGGGCCGCGCCAGGGTCCGCACACGCACTACATTGACACTACAAAGAAAATCATCCACATCTAGAAAAAAAGACTCAGCTTCAATGCACCAACATGTCAATACCGCCTCTGTAAGAGATTTTCCTCTTCCTTAGGTATTTCCATATTTTCTCAGTTTTCTTTAATAACTGAACTCCAGACATAAATAAATACACATTCTATTGAACTGAGGCAAGGAAGTACCTTTTTCCTGGCTCAAGAACAATGAAAACGAGCCCACGGAGGACATGGGGCCAACAAGGCTGGCAGCCCTTCCTCTCTCTCTCTCCGCCTCTGCCCCCTCCTGCCCCGACCTCGAACGCAGGATCCCATCCCCCTCCAGAAGCCGCTCCCTCACCCCGATCACCTCCCACACCAGTCAGAGAACCCAAGAAGCACCTCGCAGGCTCTCCATCAAGACTCTAACACTTGAGAAAAATACACGAGCCCAAAGTGGTTTTCTGTGGCAGCTTTCTGCACACAGTGAGCAAATCCAGCCCATCCATAAAAGTAACTACTGGACCGGGCCTTTCCCCAGGCCTGGAGCACCCGTGGGGCCTGTCTACAGGGAGCAACACACATTTCAACATCCCAGCTTTCCTAGAGAGGAGCCGAGGGTAAGGAGACGAGACACAGGGCACGGGTCCACCGGACTCCTGCGAGGGTAATGCGTCCAAACGGGATTCAGGAATAATGGAATCGAATTTGCAACCCAAGAATGTTGGGAGTCAGGGGAGAGTATGGGAGACAGATTTTCCAGGTCAGGGGCTGGCAAACTTTTCCTGCAGAGGATCATAAACATTTCCAGCTTTGCGGCCATATGGTCTTGGTAATGCAAGAGCAACCACAGAGAGCGTGAGTGAGTGAGCGAGGCTGTGCGCCTACAGAACATCGTTTGTGCAAGGAACAAAAATAACTTTGTAGACGCTGAAATTTGAATTTGGTGTCATTTTCACACGTCATGGAATATTATTTTTCTTTCAATTTTTTTTCCGCTATCATTTAAAAGTGTAAAAACCAGTCTCTGTTTGGAAGTGGTACAAACAGGCAATCAGGCCCACGGGCTGTAGATTCTCACCCCTGCTCTAGAATTGAGCACCTGCACCCTTGATTTTCAGGAAAGGAAACTGGACGTCTCTCCGAGGAGTTATGTCAAAAATGATCACGCCAGATGCCAAAGGTGCCTGGGGCCAGCCTTGCTCTCTCTGACCTTTGGCTTCCGTCCTCCTGCGCTGGGCCAACTCCGCGCTCCGTGCCCGGGTCTGGGATAGGGGAGGGGGCAGCAGAGAGGGGGGACAAGCGGAGCAGACACCCGCAGATCCCAGCTGCGCTCTGAGGGGCAGCACCCATGGGGGTCTGCGGGGAGGACCCACAAAATGGTGGGCCCCAGAAAGTCACCATGACAAGAGATAGGAGCCCAAGACCAACCCTTTGAAAGCACACGTTTCAAGGGAAAAGACTTCTGTTTTCTGATGGAATAATTATCACAGTCAGACATAACCCCCCAAATTAAAACTGCCCTGGTTATTTTGTTCCAGGTAATAAAAAAGATCTTAAACACACACTTGCGTGCACATACTCATGGCTCAGCTGCCCGGAAGCCCCATGCTCTAACTTCTTCCCCGGGGGACACACGGCCACCAGGCCTTGCAACCAGCCCTCTTGTGCTGAGTATTTATTCTGGTTGGACCGGAAGTCCCCTCCACCGACCCAGTACGTGTCAGGAGCAGGGAGACAGATATAGGTGTGACCTCTGGGACTTATCCTCAGCCTGCCCGCCAGCCTGCCCCACCGGGTGCGTGGAGAGCTGACCCGGGATGGCAGGTATCACTGTCCTGGCCGGGATGAGAAAGCAGGGGGCCTCAGAGAGCCCAGATGATCCGGAGCCCCCAGCAAGTCCAGGGCGAGCCACACGCAGGTGACACCTCCTTTGGCAGAGACGGGCTGAAGCGCCTGGGTTGGCCTGCAAGACCTCTGCTTGTTCCATCCTCGAGTCCAAGCAGCCGAGGGAAACAGCCGAGGACGAAGCTTCACAAAGGCAACTCAAGCCTCCAAAGGGGCAAGACCAGTCCCTGCTTCGATTCAGTAATGGCTAAAACCACCCTCCACGGACACGCATCCGGAGCGTGTGCCCGGCTATTTAAGCGCTTTGCCCATCAGCGCTGCTAAGGGCACCAGAACAGAAAGCAACAGAAGCTGCACAAATAAGTCAGCGAAGGCAGGGGCTTCTGAACAGACACGGTTAGAAAAGCAGCCGACGCGCCGTCCGGGGAGCCAGGATGTCACCCCACCCCCGCGCCCCATCCCCTCTCCTCAGTGGCCCTCTAGAGCACCGACCACCTCCGACGCGCTGCACCTGTCCTGTTACCCCCCATGTCTATCTCCCCTCTAGAACATCCGCCCCATCAGGGCACGGTCTGTCCCTCGCTGCTCTTCCAGCACGAGGCAGTGTCCACGGATGCCGTGGAATGAACAGGTGCTCACCGAGGGGTGTGGAGGGGGCTGGGGGGACGTGACGGCTCTGTTCAGGGACCCGCTGAGCAGCCGTGGGAAAGGGCCAAGTGAGAGCCACAGAGGGAGTGTGGGAGGGAACAGTGGAGGGGCGTGGGAGCGGACACCTCAATACAGACCCGGTGTGTCCTGAGTCCCCACCCACCGTCAGCACGGAGACCCCGACGCAAGCCGGACCCGAGAGAGCTCCCGTCTGCTTGGGGAGACAAGGCCCACGCACAAACAAGTGAGGTGGGGACGATAACGACGCCGATGACCCGGCGGCTGAGCCAGAGCACGAGCACCCGACTGGTTTCAAAGGGGTTGCGGCTTCCAGCGGGAGAGGCGGCCTCAGGTGGGAAAGGGGATGTCAGCACTTTGCAAAAGGTGAGTCGTCCACATGCATGAGACCATGGCATGTGGCAGGAGGTAACTCTGGGCTTCCGAGGGGGGAGCCGGGGGCAGCTGGGCACGTGGGCTTGGAGGGTACTCGGGACAGAAGGAGCTGCCTGGGGGGGGGGTGCCCATGCTGGGCTGTCACGAGCCTGGTGTCTGCCAAGCAGCAGGGACAGAGGCAGAAAGGGCCTGGCGTCTGCCCAGAGCAGAGAGAGAAGTGCAGGGCCCCGGCGGCCACTGGTTAGAGACAGCTGAGGGAGAAGGGGGTCCTAGTTGCTTTTATGAATCCGGCTGACCCTTGTGACATGAGACCTAAGACCCGCAGCAGGTCAGAGGAGGAGGGGAGGTGCTCTCAGGGTGGGGAGCCCAGCAGGGCAGGGAGGGAGAGGGAGGGAGAAAAATGCATAAGCAAATGGTGGGCCGTAGGAACACTGGAGGCCTGGTCCTGAGGGCGCAGCTGGGGTCATGGGAAGGGCTGGATACAAGAACTAAGGGTACTGATGGGGCAGGAACCTCCAACCCAAGGGCTCTAGACCCAGGAAGACAGGTAAGGAGGCGTCCCAGGCAATTCCTTGCCCAGGAGGGTAGAAAATGCAGCAGAGGCAGCTATGGGGACACAGAGGGGAACTGGGGGCTGTGTCCATGGACTTCAGCCCCCACCCATCCCACGGGGCTCTAGCCTGCGGGTGTTGGGGCAGTCGGGGGCGCCTCCCAGAGTGAGCCTGGAAGGGCCAGCCTGAGCCCACCCCCACCGCGAGCCACCCCGCGACCCCCAGCTGTCACGACAGCAGCTAGCTGGCCAGCTGAGGGGCTGCCCCAGGGGCTGGTCCGAGCCTGATGTCCAGGACAGCTGTCACAGACAAGGCCAGCAGGAGGCCCACCTGCAGGGCAGCCCAGACTTGCCCGCGACTCAGCCTGGTCCGTAAGTCGCATCTATGTGTCGCTAATGCCATCCAGATGAATCCCTGTTTCATCAGTCCAGCCTTTCCAGACCTTTGTTCTCCTCCCAGTTCATCAAGGGATTAGCCGCAGCTGCCCTATAAAGTCCTTCTCAGGGGCCTGGTGGGCGGAACACAGGAGCCCGATTACCTCTTCAAAGGGGCAGCCAGTTTATCACCGTCTAAAGTTCCTTTCTTCCAGCGCCTTCCCTCTGCGTTCAGAGCCAGGCCATGCGCACAACCAGGCCGCACGGAATCCGTTCTCCCCGTCAAAGGCAACTGCGTGAGGCAGGCCCGAGGCCAGCGCTCGGGCTCCTTAGCATCTGGCCTGGCCGTTCCATTGTCACTGGGCATAATTTCTGGGAAACATTACCACTGCTAGAAGCATGTCCTGTTGCTTCCCTAGCCTGGTTTATACCTCCCCTGACCATCCCTCCCACCTGGAAACCGGAAAGTAAACACAGCCCCTGGCCCTCAGCAGTTCCCCCAGAAGCCCTCAGAATCCTCTGTGACCTCCAGCAGGGGCTTCTGCACTAAGCTGGTGGCCCAATCCAAAGCTTGGTCCTGAGGGGCGTACCAGAGGAACAGCTGTTGGGCAGACGTACCAAGGTGGCCCCGGGCACCTGGAACATAGCCGGCACTCACCAGGTGCTCGGCGGCAAACCCGGGACCCCCGAGCGAGGGTCAAGAGGCCACAGCAGGAACGTGGGGGCAAGGCCCCTAGCACACTCGGGCCACCTCCAAGGTGTTCACCCCTGTGTCTGGGGTATTCCCCACTGAAAAGAATGCGAGAGCCCGAGACGCCAGCACGACTCGAAGGCGCCTGTGACTCGCCTGGGGCGTGTCCCGCCGGGGGGAGAAGACATGCTGAGTTTACACGGAGGATGGTCTCCACACCTATGCACGTCAGCAGCCCCCACCCCGGAGCAGGGGCGGAGGGGGCGTCCGGCACAAAACCCACAGCCAGAGTCAGCCCCCGATGTGTGGGAGGCAGCTGCGACAGTCTCTGATGGAGTCAGCATTCCCAAAGTGTGTGCCACCAGAGCCATGGTGGAGAAAGAAAGGGACCCTCGATCATGAAGCTGGAGAACACCTACGTGCCTACATTTCCCAAGTCTGCTTGATCAAAGATTCCCAAATCCTTCTAATTCTGTAGCCTCTCTCTTCACACTTTCTGGTGATTAGCTCCAAACAGGTTACACGCTTGCGGTGCACATTCCTGGTTTGTGGTGCGCGTTCCCTTACTCCGGGCCCTCCCTCACCCTCACGCTACCATGACAGACTGTCTTCAGTCCCTCCATTGGTTACCCTTAAAACTGTGCTCCTATCCCTCCCCAGCCTCCCACCTCCTAACTTCTGTCCCTTCTACTTAGCGGCTACCGCAGAGGATAACGTTTAGATTCTGTCGGGAAGCCTGACACTGTCTTAGGGCTTTGTCTGTGAGTTGATTCTAAAGGTGGAAAACCAAAAAACCACCCACTTGCCACATGACCTTGAGCAAGGTACCGTCCCCCTGGACCTCAGTTTCTCATCCACACATGGGGACCGTGCCACATACCTCCAAATACTCTTGTGGGACAAACACACGAAAGGTGCTCAACATCACCCATCATCAGGAAAATGCAAATCAAACCCAGGAGACACCACAGCGCACCCACCAGGATGGCTACAATCATGATAAAGGACACAGAATGCTACAGTGCCTGAGGCTGTGCTGAGAGCAGAACACACGTACGCTCTTGCAAGAGCGTGCGGAACGGTGCAGGCCGTGGACCAGTCTGACGGTTCCTCAGTAAATCACACATAAAATTCCTACATGACCCAGCAATTCCGCTCCTTGGTATGTACCCAAGAGAATGAACAACAGGTGCCCAAACAAACTTGCACACGGTGCCCTTCACAGAGTTGCTCAGCAGCCAAAAGGGGGAAACAACCCGAATGTCCATCAACAGACGGGTGGATGATGTGTGGTCCATCCATACAACCAATGTTACTCTGCCATAAAAATGAAACACAGACAGGTGCCACCGTGTGGATGAATCCCGAAAACATCATGCTGAGCGAAGCAGCCAGGCATGAAAGGCCGCGTACCACATGACTGCACTCACGTGGAATGTCCCGGAACAGCCAACCCCACAGGGACAGACAGGAGATCCGCAGGTGCCGGGAGCTGGGAGGGGAGACCGGGACTGGCTGCTTAATGGGCAGGGGGTCCTGGGTGATGAAAACATTCTGGAACTAGGTAGTGGTGATGGTTGCTGTAGTTCAGCACTGTGAATGTGTGAGGGGCCGCTTTTGAAAGGCACACTTCAATTGTAAAAATGGCCATTGTAGATCATTGTAGATCATGTGTGTTTTACCACAGTAGACAACCCCAGCACCCTGCTGTGGGAGTACATGGAGCCATGCCCGTTCCGTGTCCGGCAGCGTCAGCTAGACACACACATCCCCAGCTCCCCAGCCCGCTCCCAGGGGTGGGTGGGGTCCATGGAGACGAAGCCTCCTCAGCAGACCCCGCTGGAAACAAGGGTCTTGGCTTCAGGCTCAGAGGCTCCAGAGAAACTCCCTTTAGCGTGTGATTTTTCATTAAGATTTTGTATTCTGAGGGACGCCTGGGTGGCTCGGTCGATTAAGCGGCCGACTCTTGATTTTGGCTCAGGTCATGATCTCAGGGTCATGAGATCAAGCCCCGCATCAGCCTCTGTGCTCAGCAGGAAGTCTGCTTGGGATTCTCTCTCTCCCCTCCCCCTCCCTCCGCCCCATCCCCCACCCCTGCGCATGCTCTCTCTTCCCCTCTCTCTCAAATAAATTTAAAAACAAAGATTTTGTCTTTTGAAATAGTTTAAGACACACAAGAAGTCACTCAAGGAGCTCCCGTGTGCCCTTCGCCCAGCTTCCCCATGACAGCATCTTACACAACCACGATACATACTATGATGGCATTTACTCGGCCACACATCTCCTTAAGGGCCCAGAAATGTATCATAATAAACCATTTTTTCAAGGATCCTCTTTGTCCAAATAGCATAGCACAAGGGCGCCTGGGTGGCTCAGTCGGTTAAGCGTCTGACTTGATTTTGGCTCAGGTCATGATCTCAGCATCGTGAGATCGAGCCCCAGGTCGGGCTCTGTGCTCAGCGTGGAGCCTGCTTGGGATTCTCTCTCTCCCTCTCCCTCTGGTTCTCCTGCCACCACCCTGCTCGCACATGCACCGCACACATGTTCTCTCTCTAAAAAAATAAATAAAATCCTTAAAAAAAAAAAAAAACAGAGCATAGGCATCCGTCCGATGCCTGCCTGGTACACGTGATGGGCTCCAGGGCGACCAGGCCCGGCTTCTGCCTAAAACTCAGGGCTCCAGGCCTGCCCGGCTGTGGCAGGCAGCACAACCTGTATTAAACAGCTCCAGGAACCAACGCCCACCGGTGGGGATGACTCACCTCAATTTTGTCCGTCTTGGCGTCTCCCCAGTACAGCTTTCCCTCCTGCAGGTCCAGGGCCAAGCCGTTGGGCCAACCGAGGGACGTGTTCACCAGGATGTGCCGCTCCTGCCCGTCCAGGTTGGCACACTCGATTTTGGGGTTTTCCCCCCAGTCTGTCCAGTACATGAGGCTGGAGAAGAAGCACATGTCCTTGACGCTGTCTGTCTCGTCCCTGCTGCACCCCCCAGGGCTGAGGACCACGCCCTCCCCATCCGGCGGGAGGCGCTCAGGCATCACCAGCTCACTGCACAGGTGAGCACCAAGCCCCCCACGCAGGACCAGGGGCTCCACGGGAAATGGGGGTGCCCACAGTGCGGGCTTCACGACATGGGGTCCTGGGACTCGAAGGGGGCTGGTGGGCCTCCCCTCCCGTCCTGCAGGTGGGCAGACAGCAGACGCCCCGCTGAGAGGCCCGTGGGCTGGAGGGGCCGAGCGCCAGGGAGGAGGCCGAGCTGGAGGGGAACCTTCTCCAAGCAGCCGAAGGGCTCCCGTGTGCAAAGCGCAGGCTCCACGGGCAGACAGGCCAAGAGGCCCAGCTCTCCCAGCAGGCACCACGAACGGGTCACCGCAGGTTCTGAGCCTCAGCCGCGGGGAAATGAGACAAGCACCTAACACCCCAGGGGTGCACCGTGGATGGCAGCCCCTGCAGTGACCACGGTCACTGTTGCCGCAGCTCTGCTGGTCCCCACGAGGCACAGCTCCCAGGTCTCCCTCCTGTCCTCCCAGCTCCCCATCCAGGCTGTCTCCAGGACACCGCCCACATCCTGCACGGAGGGCCGGAGGCTTCCCCTGCAGCCCCGGCTCCACCTGCCAAGAGCTCCAACTGTTCCTCCTTCCTCCTCCCAGTTTCCCGTTGTTGGTCGTGAGCCCCCAGGGAGGGCGCTCCTACCCTCCCCTGAGCTGTGGAGGTTCTCAGAAAGGCTCCTACGTCGACTGACAAGCTGTTTTCACAGAATCCTAAAATGGAAAGTTGGAGCCACACTGCTGGGTCCAATCCCAATCTCCTGGCTGTGTGACCTTAGGCAAGTCCCTTAACCTCTCTGGGCTTCAGCTTCCTCTACTGTACAACTGCACCCACCTCCCGGGGAGAGAGGAGGAGGCAAAGATTCACCGTGTGTAACGTTTAGAAGAGGCCCGGCCTGTACGTAGTAAGTATGTACCGTGATCAGTCTAGAAATCACCCTGGTGGACCATTCCATTTTGCAGGTGAGAAGGGTGAGGCCCATGGAAAGAAATGACTCACCCGAGCTCTCCAGGCCCTGTATACGTGTACGTGACAGCCTGTGTCAGAGCGTCTCAAAGTCTGGTCCCTGGACCAGCAGCAGCATCACCAGGAAGCTTGTGAGAAATTCAGGTTCTCAGGCCCCACCCCAGACCTCCTGAATCGAAACTCTGGGAAGAGGGCCCAGCCACCCGCGTTTTAACAAGCCCTCCTCTGGGGGATTCTGATGCTGGAGAAAGTTCCAGAACCACTAGTCTCTCTCACCTCCGGGTGGTCTGGCTTGCAGCCCCCGCCAGGTGGGAGGTCCGCCCACCCCCAGCCTTACCCCATCACAGGGTGCAGCACGATGGCCCGGGGCTCGTCCAGGTCCTCGGACACCAGGATCTTGCGGGAGGTACCATTGAGACGGGTCACCTCGATGCGGTCGGTGCCCGTGTCCGTCCAATAGAGGTTACGGGCCACCCAGTCGACCGCAATGCCATCGGGGTCATTGATCTCGGTGTTGACCAGCGTCTGTGCCCCTGACCCGTCCAGGTACGCCCTGCGGATGGCCCGCACCTCGTCATCCGTCCAGTAGACGTAGCCCTCCAGCGGGTCGTAGTCGATGGCGATGGCGTGACGGATGTTGTCAACTTGCAGCACGATGTCGGTGAAGTCCGGCGTGTCCAGCGAGATCCTCCGCAGGTCTGTCCGCCGGGCCAGCAGCAGCACCTCCTCGGCCCCTGTGGATGTACACGCGGTGGGGTCAGAGGCCTGCAGCAGGACAGCAGACCCGGCCTGTGCTGGGCATGGCAGGGAGGCGCTCAGCCAGCCCCCGGGGTCAGAGCTTCCTCGAGACAACCGGTGACTTTAGGTAACACTGGCTGAGACCCTCCTACGCAGTCACTGGCTCACCCTGGTGAGGGCTCTTTGAGGCCAGCACTAGTTGGATCGTCATCTTATAGATGAGATCACACAGGCACAGAGAGGTCAAGCAACCAGCTGAAAGCCACAGAGCCACCTGACTTCCACCACTGTGGAAGAGCTGCTTCACACTCAGTCCCCCTTGCCCCCTGCAAGCCCCTCTCCCGGCCACAAACCAGTTCCAAATGCAAGTCCCACATAGGCACTGGGCTCCAGACTGCCATTGTCAAAGACATACTTCTCAAAACCCCACTGGACCCCACTTCTACTTGTTCACCCTTCATGGCTCAGCTCAGATGCCACTTCTTCCCTGAGGCCCTACCTCTGCCCCGCTCACCCCCCAAGGCAGCTTCATGTCACCTAGCCGCACACATCATCGCACGGTCTGACTCCTTCCCACCTGGCTTTCTTACTGACAAGGGTGAGCACCTAGGGGGCAAGTGCCCCAGTCTTCCTCTGCCACCCCAGCAGTATTAATACTTTGACTCTGTCCTGGACCCTCCCTGCTGCGATCTGTCAGAACTTCCAGGCAAACAGCACATGGAGCCTCATGTGCTCCCCAACCCTGGCCTGGACGCCTCGAGGCTGCCGGGGCCAGGATGTGATCCCTCCCCCAGAGCTGGGTCCTTGTCCACTCATTCATTCTGGCCCCTTCTGGTCTCAAGGACCCACAGAACCAAGATTAGGTCCAGAGACTGCTTTTGGAACTTTGGGGCCAATTGCCTGGTCTGACTGGAAAGGCCCAGAATGGGGAAGGACTCATCTCAAGTTATGCAGCAACGCAGGACAGGGACAGGGACGGAACCAGCTGGGCACATCCATCAAACTCAGGCCCCCAGGCCCAGCCTCTGCAGCCAGCTGCCTGGTCAAGCTACAGCTCTCAAACAGCAGACTCTCTCCTGCACCCGGTGCCAACTTCTTGCCACCATGGCAGAGCCCTCAGAGCCCAGTGCCTTGCAGAGTCCACCTGGGGTCCCCTGCCCAGCATTTCGAGTAAGGGTGGGGACCCGGATCCTCACTGTCCTGCTCCAAGGCCCAGAGCTCATAATCCAATTCCTCCCCTAGAGGGCGCACACACGCCAGCGATGGCTTTATGAGCCCAGGGCCGGGAAACCGAGGCAGGCAGCGCTCACAAGGTACCCCAGGTGTCTGACTACTTTGGAAACCTCCGACACCCAAATTCAGATTTGGTCCTGATTTGGTGTGTTGGAAGGAGGGGAGGGGAATTCTGAATTTTAACAAATTGTCTTCCTCTGGGTTCCATTCCCAAAATGTTCTGTTGACATCTGACCTGTCCTTCAAGGCCCAGGTCACACACCTCCTCCTCCTCCTCTAGGAAGCTTTCCTGCCACCCTTACCCCAGTGGATGGGCTGACCACACATACACACACACACACACACACACACACTCTGCCCCTCTGCAGGGGCTCCACACTTAATGGTTCATTGGGATTCCAGCACATGCCGCCTTGGCTCTCTGCAGACCCCAGAGCCACACCCAGAGCAGGTGCCGACATCCTAAGACAAGCAGGGAGAACACAGGGCAGATTCCCTGTGTGACTTTGGACAGGTCCCTAACCCTCTCTGGGCTTTGGTCTTCCCATTTATAGTGAAGAATCAGCCCAACCTGATGATGTCTGAATTTCTGTCTAGCTCTGACATCAAGGGAACCATAAACCAGACTCCATGAAGGGCTCTGGCTTCATCTGCCACCATGGAGGGATGTGGAAAGCCCCCCAGGGCACGGCCGGGAAGAGCCCTGTCTAAGAGGGCGTCTACAGAACTGTCCAAAGAGGCTGCCGGGCTCCCAAGCGGAGGCCGGGGCTGCTCACTGTGCAAGGCGGAAAGGTGTGTGTCAAACCCCACTTGACTTCAATCAGCACCTCTTCCCCAGAGAAAACACTGGTCCCCAGGGAAACCAATGCTCTGTCCCAAAACACATTTTTTTTCAAGCTTTTTATTTATTTATTTGAGAGAGGGAGAGAGAGCATGAGTGGGAGGAGGGGCAGTAGGAGAGGGAATGAGAATTCCAAGCAGAGTCACTGCTGAGTGCGGAGCCTGACTCGGGGCTCAATCCCACGACTCTGAGATCATGACTTGAGCCAAAATCAAGAGTCGGACGCCTAACCGACTGAGCCACCCAGGTGCCCACAGAACATATTTAGAGCCTGTTTCACCCATCCCTGTTGCTATGGTCCTCCAGACACAATCACCTAAAATAGTGTGATCCTCACACCAATCCCAGAGGTATGATTATGCCCCATTTTACTGATGAGGAACCTGACGCACAGAGAGGTTAAGCTCCCCGATCCAGGGCACACAGGAGCAAGTGGAAAAACAAGGTCCCACAAACACTTGGATCTCGGAAGATGGTACACACAGGAAGCCCAATGTTGACGGGCTGCCCAGCTGGATTGGTCACCCCACCAGTTATCTCTGCAGGCAGCTACTTTAGACCAGGCCTGGGCCAGGAACTGGGGGTGGGGGTGGGGGTGGGCAAAACAGACACAGGATCCCCCACCTCCGGTGCTCCTGGGGTCACAGGGCAGAGCCCTTTAGGGAGGAAGACCATCAGTGAATGGGTACTAGGAAGGAGAGCTGGGGTTACAGGTGGGCCTGCTAAGGGGGCCAGCTGAGACTGGGGAGTCTGGCCTCCCTGCTCCAAGAACCTCAGAATCATGTGGCTATGACCATGTACCAGATACCAGCAGAGTGTCCCCAAGGGGCACAGAGCCATCAGGGGCGAAGTGGGCCCGGCCCCAGCCTTCCATTAACCAGGTCAATACAAAGCCTCCAGCACAGCCCACCGCCAGGGAACCCCATCATCAGCATCCCTTAGAATTAAGTCTCTATGGCTGAGGCAGTAATTAAACGCCAGGATAAATCTGTAGGTGATAATGGAGTCCAAGGGGGAGTGTCTGACACCCCTTGGGCTGCAGAGCCTTTGAAGTTTTTATTTGAGCTTTGCTAGAATACGGGGACATGCGGGTGAGAGTCACAGCCCAGCCTGTTGCCTGAAGCACAGAGGGGGTGGAGCACTCTGTCCAGGACCCGGCCGGCAGCGGGGGTGGCGGGGAGGGGGGGGGCAGCTGCGGAGACAGAACCCCCAGCTGCTCGCTCCCAGAGGCCGCTACTCACAGGTGACCTCCAAGGCTGTCAGCAGCAACGTCTGAGCGGCAGCCCTGGCCTCCGGCCACCTGGGTGGGTGTAGGGCACTGTGCCGGGGCCAGGAGGAGGAGAGGCCACCCCCCTCCCTGGGACCAGACACAGATCCTGGGTAGGAGTTTGTTTAAACACTAGGGAAGTAAATTGTTTAGAAACTAACAGTTTGGCCAAATGGTTTTCTTTGGGGTTGTTTAAACAAATAGCCTGCCCCACAGTGCTGCCAAGGAAAGTGAAACCTTCCCCTCGCTGGCTGGGCAGCTGTCCCCGGAGCCTCCTTCGGGCGGACTCCTGACCTCCCCCTTCCTCGCTGCACGCACACGCGCCGGAAAGAAGGGCAGCGCCCCTGTCCCGGGGCCAAGTGCAGGGCACCGACCACAGGCCAGGGCACAGCCTTCCTGGCAGCCGGCGTTCTCCAAACAAAAAAGCCGACCTGAGGGATGGCCCAATGTCACGGGCATGTCAAGTTCAACACCATCCCTCCCTGCCAACATCCCTCCGGACCAAGCTGCCTTCCATCCCAGGGTGCCGTCCTGTGGGTCACACGGACCCGGCCAGATGCAGGAAAAGGCTGCCGTAACACATCAGCACAAACGGGGAGGCTCCTAACAGCGGAAACAGACTCCTTCACGGTTCTGGAGGCCAGAAGGAAAAACGCCAGGGGCTGGCAGGCCCAAGCTCCCTCTGAAGGCTCTGGGGGAGACGTCCTTGCCTCCCTCCGCTTCTGGTGGTTACCAGCAATCCCTGGATATTCCTTGGCTTGTGGTTTCACCGCTCCAACCTCTGCCTCTGTCTTCATACAGCCTCCTCCCCTGCATCTCTGTGTCTCAATCTCTCTCTTATAAAGGTCACTAGTCATTGGATTCAGGGCCCACCCTACTCCAGTCTGACCTCATCTTAACTTGGTTACACCTTGCAAACACCCTGTTTCCGCGTTAGGTCACATTCACATTCCGGGGACTCAACATGTCTTTTTGGGGGACACGATGCAACCCACAAGAGGTGGGGAGCAGAGGTGAGAGGAGACGTTCCGTGGGAGGAGAGGCAGGTCCAAGGGGTGGGGGGGCTCCAGAGCACGCCGGGCCATCGCTGCCACCGGGATGGACGGGAATGGAGCTGGCCCACGGACACCACGCACTCTGGACACTGGGACAGCGCTGAGCCCACCGCCGCCTACAAGGAAGCCTCGTGCAAACAGCATGCTGTGAATGCAGCAGGAGCCCAGCCACAAGACAAACAAAAGCCTCCCTGGAACAAAATCTGCTCCCACAGATGAACCAAAGCTTCCTTTCCTGGCAGGAAACACACGCAAACGTCCACAGCGGCTATCTTGGGACCATTCTCGGTCTTCCTTCTGGTCTCCAGCGGGGGTCTGCACACGTCTTCTGTAAAGGACCAGCCGTCAGCACGCCAGGCGCTGCGGGCCACGACCCCGGCTGTCGCTGGCGGCCAGCTCGGCGTCCCAGTGTGAAAGCTGCAGCAGATGGCGCAGAAGCAGGGGGATGCGAGCCAGACGTCACGCAGGGACACCGAAATTCGCATTTCCTCTCCTTTTCCCACGTCACAAAACATTCTTCTTGTGAGTCTCTTTTCAACCGTGCAAAAACATCCCAACCATTCTGAGCAGCAAGGCCACAGAAACAGGCCTCGAGCCTCG